GTTTGAAACAATGAAAGCAGAAAAAGAAGGAAAGGGAACTTTGTCATATTAAGACCAATCTACCAATTTGAAGGTTGTCCACAATTTATCCAACAGAAACCTATCACAACATGAGGTCGCACTACTAAGAGAAGGTTTAAACTTTAACTCAAACAGAAAACTAATTAGTACCCTGAAAGTGGTACCCATCAAAGAATCAGTAATCGAAAAACTACCAGATAATAAAGAGGCTGATATCTTATGTCAGAAAGCTTCTAACATTCGACAAAAAAATGTATATTCTGCCGAATATTTCTAAAGAAGAACGGCCAGCCGTTTAGAACCTACGAAAAAATAAAACAATCATAATTACTAAGTCAAATAAAGGAAGTGTAACAGTGATTATGACCGTAAAGCATTTGAAAAGAAACTGAGACCGTTTATCGGAGACTCATTGTGAATTTCTCTATATCTAAAATCATGCACATTGTCACGTTTCTATGGATTACCAAAAATGCAAAGAGGTGATGTCCCTCTAAGACCGAAAGTGTAATTTACAAACTTTCCAACATATGCATTATCCAAATATCTTGCAGCATCACTAAAGCCTCTTCAACGCTCTGTTATCAGCCTAATTAAAGATTCTTATGAATTCAAATAATAAAATATCGGAACTACTGTAGAGAATGAAACAATAGTATGTTATGATGTTGTTTCCTATTGAAAAATGTTTAGAACTTATAGGTGAATTGTTAGAATGTGATCACCTGTTGGCAGACAGATGTCTGTTGAACCCCAGTCTTATCATGAAGACATTCAAATTTTGTTTCAATTCAACACTTTTCACGTTTAGAGGAAAGTTATGTCAACAAACACATGGAGTAGCAATGGGTTCTCCGGTGGTTCCTATCGCTTCACGTCTCACATTAAATCCATTGTTTTTGCTAACACCATCAAACTGTGTATTTGGCTCAGATAAGTAGATGGTACATTCGTAATTTTAATAAGATCAACCCTCTGAACTTTTTCTAAATTAAATAATACACATTCTCCACATATTAAATTCACATGTGAATATGAAAATGAAAGCGAAGAATAGCCATTTTTAGACTGTTTAGTTAAAGTGAATGGAAATACAAGTCCACGTTTGTCGACTTATCGTAAACTAACAGATTCAAATCAATATGTTGATTTCAACTCAGCATATTCACTCAGTGCTAAACTTTCACTTGCTTGGAACTTATTCACGAGGGCGACAAAGCTCATCCCGAATGAAGACGATGGACAGACGGAGGTAAGAAATATAATGGATGTGTTTCATTCCAATAACTGCCCTGAGAATGTCGTTCAAAAGATTTAAAAACATGAGCAAAAGGATTCAAGAGGAAAATTAAGCGATGAATCCTAGATCAGCATAGGAGTTCTACGATTCCGCCAAGGTACAACTGAACAGCTATAAAAGATTTTAAGAAAATAACCAATTATAGCCTTCTAGAAGACAATCAAAAGTCTCAGGAATGCTTTAGTCCACTTAAAAGATAGAATTCCTTTTACCTCCACAGAGAATTATGTCTAAAGATTAAGCTGTGTCGACTGTGATGCTTTTTATATTGACGAATTATCTCATGAGATCCTTATTCATGTGGAAGAATATGCAAGCTGCACATAACAACCGCCAAATAAGCTTGTAGAACTAGAGAATTTATAAATCAAATCGGCAATCACTGTTCACACCACCTATCACAGTCACAAAACTGGTATTTGAAAATATTAAAATTATTAAAAAAAGATTTTCAAACTAGAAGGGAGGGCGGATAGCCGGGGCATTTCACATTATGTGGAAGCCTAACGTACTCAACAGAAAGGAAGGCCTAACTATCCAACCACCGCGGAAAGTATATCCGAAATAACACGTCATCTATGATATTTTTCTCACACATTCACATGTGCACATGCATTTACGTCTTTACTTTGGCCTCACAAGCCAATAACTGAGAGTAATAACATTTATTCCCATATTATTATTCAGAAGAATAATCTGTAGAAATACTACAGAAACAACAGAACGTCAACTAACACTTTGAGGGCAATGACGGAACAGAATCTGATCTCTAAGTCCACATTTGATACATTAAACCCTCAGGCACATACATACCTAGACTTTATGGCTTACCAAAGGTTCACAAGTCTGAAATTCCACTACGTCCAATTCTAGATAAAGTGAACTCTGTGTATCACTCAACAGCGAAATAGTTCGTACGAGGGCTAGAGCCTTTACATCGCGAATTGGTGAGATTCAGCGTAAAAGATGTATTCAGCTGCGTAGAACATGTCAAAAATGTGAGTGTTAGAGACAAGAGGATGATTTCATTGGATATAATATCATTACTAACCAATGTTCCGCTTATAGAAACAGTCGACAACATTTGCAATGAATTAAGAGAACGACAGATAGACGTAGGAATCCCACCTGGAAGATTAGGCAATTGCTGCCAAAATGCACCATGAATGTTCATTTTATGTTTAACAACGAATAATATAGATAAGTCGATAGGGTTGCAATGGGCTCTCTTCTGCGTTCTATGCTAGCGGATATCTTTTTGACCAAACTTAAAAACGGTGCACTTAGGGACACACTTGATAAACTAGACTATTATTGCCGGTATATAGATGATACACTCATCATATGCAATAATGGCTACAATAAAGAAGATCTTTTGAATACCTTCAATAATGTTCACCCAGCAATGAAGTTCATCTCCGAGGAAGAACAAAGGAATAGTACTCTTTTCTTATATGTCCTCCTCACCAGGAAAACGGATGGATATATTAAGAGGAAATATTTTTCGAAGGAACACATCGACTAGTCAATATATTCACTTTTGTGGCTTCACACTAATTCAATATAAAAGAAACCTGATCAAATCCCTGGTTAATTGCTCAAATTATTCTTGTTTTGAATAATCCATGGGGATCTTTAATTTATTATTGTTATTACCATGTATGAACAACGTGATCTGATTTGCTACCATTTGCTATTTAAATATGCGATAACATGTACAGGCTTCATTCTCTGAAAAAGCGGTTTCCACGAGGTCGCGAAACGTCAGGAATGTATTACTTTTTCAACTCATTGGGATTTTACAAATATATTTCCTTTATAACCCATTTCATCAATGCTCAACTTATTCGACTCTGTCAGGTCAAATTTCGGTCCTGAAGTGCACAAATTCAGGAAGGAGTGTTTTCAGAAGTAGCTGACACCATTCTAGAGGTTATTCTTAGTATAATTTGAATACACTGATTGGTAGGACTTTGAAGGTTATACCAGAACACTGTCTATCACGTAATACGAAATTAAGAATAACACGATCTTCATAAATGGTTGGTGCGTAACGACTTACATATGTAATGATAGAGTGTTAAATATCAGCAATCTTGAGCACATTCGTGCAGCAGACAATGAGCCAGACCTATCATCTAGGGGCTGCTAATGATGCTACCCGGTTGCTCAAACCTCAGTAGGAGGGGGGCGCATAGTGTTTGAACTCCTGACCAATATGATTGAAAGTTAATTGCCTAAACTGATGAGCCACAGGTCCAATTAAATACACGTGGACATTATTATGTCATATGTTTAATATTCTTCAGTCTACCTATTCCTGTTATCAACATACTCATGTCAAATGAAAACAGGTGAAATTGTTTTAAGGTAATTAAAATGCATCGCTTATGATTGAAAATCGTTTAGCGAGATTATAGTGATTTGTAAAAAAAGACGAAGAGGAACGATAACCATTCACCAATAAATTGATGACCACTTAAATTGAACTTTCGTAGATTAAGTTTACACTTCCCATATCGTTTCTTGCCTTGTCTTCCAACTTAGAGTACACTTTTGATGTTACAACTTGTTAATCTCTCTCGTTGATTGGACCGAATTGATCGATCACTATTGGCATATGGGCTCCTACGACGGTGCCTAGATATTTCCGGCATTTTCAGTGTTGATATTAATGATGGATAGTAGCTGACAATGGAATCCATGATGTGCACTTCATCCTATTTGGGACTCACTCGTTAGCTGGATGTACATGTCTCCCAGTGAATGGTATTCTTCCCACTAGGGCTCGAACCCGCGACCGATGGCTTCAAATGCCAGAGCGCTATCCACTAGGCCACTGAGTCACAATACCCAATCCTTCTGCAACGAGTGCAGTATATTTCAGATGTTACAACCACAAAGAGTTACATGCTGACGAATCCCAAGTGAGAAGAAAAGCGCGTCTTGGATTCCACTACCGGTCACTATCTGCCATTATCATAAAAATTAGTATACATTCGTTGAGGATAGAAAAGATAATTGAATAAAGAATTGTGTGTACACTACAAAAAAACGTTGTTCATTTTTGAAATGAATGTTTATGGAATACAACTTAACTGAGCATAACCATGTTCCTAAAGTTGCAAACAATTCAAGTCTATAGAGGATGAAGTAAACATTAATTATGAATCAATTACTTTGATTAACCCACTCTAAATATCACCCTAACAACGACTAAAATAGCTAACTACCCCTCTTTATATTGTGAATTACTTTCAGGTGACTAATAGTGGAATCCCGGACATGTATTTCATCCCTTTAGGAACTTGTCAGCATCACGAAAAAATCAGAGACCTAGAGCACTTACACACATTAGGTAATGAGTCACACCTATTGTGTGATACCTAATGATACCACCTGGCTAGAGAGAGCTGTGTTCAAACCCAAGACTCACTGGTCGGAAGTCAGCTCCTTAAACCAATGAGTTACAACTTTGGTAAGTGATGGTTTTTCCAGTGAAATACAAACCCAGAGCGTTATCCCTTAAATTATACTGCGAAAAAAACAGCATTTTTAGCCGAAATAAAGAAATCGAATTCATTGTTTCATGATTGCTAGAGTGACTATTTGGGGTCACTCCATAGATCAATGGATTCAATTTTATAATATACCGCGTTAAAAACACCTGCTCACTTACCAGATTTATCATGATTCTTGATAGAAGGTACTTCAGTTACACAAGTGTGATCACCAATCACGAACAATTTCAATACTTTTCCATTATGTTTGACAAATTGTTGAACAAATAAAGGATATGTTAGTTCATCTAGGCCCAAGTCATTGAAAACCACAGCCATCTGAATAAAAGGCGGTTAACAACAGCACTAAAACGTTAACTGAGATTAGCAAAAGCAGCAATAATGTCAAGACTAAACGAATAGGAATGAAGACAGATGCATTTAATCAACCATTCAATAACTGAAAGTGTACAGTAGCATTTTATAGCTTTCTTGATGCTATAATCCACCAGAAGAGAAGGGATTAACGACAAATGTATGTGTGACTACATAATGATTTGTCTATGGATAGCATTTACTGGTGGGTCCACTAAACTAATGGTAGGATTAAGGAATGTAAAAATTCTAAAGGCGATATTTTCTGACCCGTAGTACTAATTACGTTTATTACGCGTTGCTGATGAGGCACGCTTAGGGAGAAAGCCCGAAAACAAGTATTTTTAGAGATGGTTAATGCTACGAGAAAATATTTAACGTGATAGCACTAGGCGACATCCTCACATGACGGTGTCTTAGGCAAAATAAATCACTACATCAGGGATACTGTATTTTACACCAGGTTTCATGTAAATTGGGATTCATTAGCAGGGTTTATCTGCAACCATGAGGAAACTGGTGTTCCCCTAGTGCTTTTAACCCTTGTCACTTAGTGACGAAGTCAGAAACTTAACTACTAAGCGATACTCACGCCATGACTGACCCCATGTAGGACTGGGTTATGCATAAGAATCGGTCACCACTGGGTAACCCATGAAACGATGTACTCTTTAGTGTACGGAGCCTATCAATATTTATCTGTCGTTTTCTCATTGTTATGCATCAACTGATTTATAAAAGCGAATAGCACTGGATGCAGTTTTATAGTTACACTCCGGCAAAAACTGACAAAATCAACGTAGAACCTAGCACACAGGTGGGTCGCTTCAAGTTGCCAAACTACACAGCAGTGTACAAAAAACAGGTGGATAGAAAAAGAGTGATATCACATAAATCAAACTACTGTGACCGAAAAAAATCTGATTATGAAGGTTAGTGCGTAAATTCAAGTTTGAGAAGACGTCAAAGAGTGAATAATTATGCGCCATTGTGACCGATTTCCAGCCATTTCACCAACAGTGCCCAACCATTGATTCTCTTCGTCTTGAGGACCCCAACCACATAGTCCGCATCGCCCGGCATGGTTCATATCAACAGTAAGAGACTTCATGGACTGGTGCCACGTTTTGGGCAGGTCCCTGTGGACCTTCTTAGAACTTAAACCAACTTCCCCTAGCATGGCACATCGATTAGGCGGTGCCTCAGCATGCGTAACACATAACGAAACCATCTCAGTCGACTAAGGTTAACAACCTTATCAAACGACTTGCCTGCCTTGCCTAGTACCCTTCGCCTGACTTCAACATTGCTCATACGATGGTTCCATTAAATGCGAGCGATGCTACAAAGACGTCTATGATCGAAATCCTGCAATCACCTGTCTTCTGCTTTTAAAGACCATGTTTCACAGCCGTGCAACAAGACCAAACGGAATTCAGCCTAGTATATTCGTCCTTTGGTAAGTAGTCAGATATCTCGCCAGTCGGTGCCACAGATGACCCAGGTTGGTAAATGCCGAGGGGCCTACTGTATGTCCACTGAGATTCCACCAGCAACCAGCCTGTTCGGCTTGATGCAACTCACCAAGTAAGTGAAGTGGTAGACACATTTGACCACTCCACTTCCTATCATTAAAGTTGGAGTCGTTTCAGACCCTTCCTTGAGCATCATCTTACATTTGACGAGTCCACACCCTCGTATGAAACATCTGTTCGATTCATAGAAGTAACTAAAATCATCTCAACTACAGATAACCTGATATTTTCCTCCCTCCTGATGCCAAATAGACTTTTTTCTCACTGAAAAAATGATATGCAGTTATTTTTCTCCTAACTGTCCCCTTAGAAATCACCTTGTATTTGTCCTTCTGTTTAAATTAGCTTGTATTTTTGTTATGTAAAAGAAACATGAGAAACTTTACAAGCAGCCTTCTTGAATCTGACTCTGCAGGTACATATCACACGATCATATACCCTTTAAAAGCAATTCAACTTTATTCAGAAACATTTCACACTTCTTAAAAATGAAACATAACAAGTGCATGCGAAAGTATGAAGCTATAATTGAAGTCCAGATGAAACCCCAGCTACTGGGGTAGTCAAACACGGAGACCTGTGGTATGTGATTAATGAACACCATGTACTTTTTCGTCAGTGCTAAAATTCCCTGATGATACATATCTATGATCAGAAACAAAGGATTTCGATGAAGTTTGTATAAAATTAAGGTAATAGGAACTGTCCTGAACAATAATATCTCCCACTTAGAAGCTAAACTATTTTAAAATCAGTTGAAACAATTCATTCTCAATGCCTAATTGACTAACGAATCAACATAGAAATAGGGCACGAAAGTGTACCAGTTCAAGTTATCATATTTTGTAACAACATGCACAGAAGTGGATAGAGAAACAACGGAACTAAGTGGTATGAGAGAGAAAGGGCGAAATAAACAAAGATTAGCGGAAGCGCTCATGATTTCAATAATGAAGAAGACGGTATACATCTACATCTGTGTCACTGAGACCGATATTGAGCCTTATCACCAACACTATTCAACTGCTGATACAAATAATCTCGAAGATCTCAATCAAACAGCTTGGACCTTCCCACTCGGAGCAGATTACAACTAGAAGTGGCTTAGCAGGTACGACACATGTTCAAACCAATTAAGTTTGTAAAGGCTCACTAGTTCATCATCTGATTTACCTTTCTTGCCTAGTATGCTATACCTAATCGTAAAATCGTTCACATGGTGACTACGCCATCTACTTATTACAACCGACCAATCAATCAATCGTGAATTTCTAAAAACTTGATTGTTCTTCTCGGAGTAGTCTTAAACCTGCGGATGCCTAAACCATAGGGCTAAGCAGCAACAACAAAAAGCTGTCTAGTGTCACCTAGTTTTCAGTAGTTCTGGAGATCATGCCCAACACTCCTTTTATTGCTTGTTGATTCCAAATGAATGCTTGCTACTGAGAAGTAAGAGAAATCCCGCAAGTGTACTCTTGCAAGAGGTTTCACCTCCCATTAGTTTACAGATTTCGTTGTGTTTGTATGTCATATTTCAAATCTCATATACTTGTCTTGATACTACTAGACCAAGAAGTAGCTCTAGGAAAGGGAAATGGTTCATCTGTTTTATAAAAAACCAAATGAATGCCGCACCACATCTGTGTGAATAGCATCTAGCACATTCATAGCAAACCAAACCAATCAAAATATTTTCTAGTTCTCTGTGTCATTGGCGACTTGCTAGAAAAGAGAAACCAATACACTAATCAACCATAATCACTCAAAGCAGTTTCGACAGAGCTGAAAATAAACTGACAGCCGTCAATTATCACAACTGAATTAATACGCGAATCAGATAAAAACCACCAAAAACTTTAGCTTGTGGTTCAACAGAGGGACAAACCAAAACCTAGGCACAATAAGTGAAGCAAATCAGGTCTGCTAGTAAGCCGTCAAATCATGTGAGTAGGTCAATGCCTACAAAAGGCTGTACTCAACCACGACAAATTAGTCAACAGATAAAAATAGTCATCAGTTGACGAACATATGGAGAGCGCGAATAGTCAGCGAAAACTCGTCAAAAAAGGATAATTACTCAACACTGTTAGATAGTTGAATGCAACAGGACGAAATGGACATACTTTATGCACACTGTCTTGTCCATGGGCCATCAGTGACTTGCAAACTGTAAATGAAAGTAAATAATAAAATTCACTACAAATTCCCTTACGTACCAGACTAAATAGAAGATGAAGCAGTATACCTTTCAGTTAAGACAACGGAGAAATACCACAATAATGAGAACTTCCTGAACATCATCTTGGTCAAATTGAAAAGAACCAGACACAATAAGGTTTCTGGGTCAACTAGAAAATACCCTCCGGGTAAATATTATATAGTAAGCTGAAAAGTTGGCACAAGCATACAACTTTTCATCGTTCAATAGACACCAAATGAAAAACGCCATGAAAACATGCCACTAAATAAATATGAATCCAATCGTCTACTTAAGTATGAATCCGAAAACTCGATGTGCTTAAAAGAGATTTGTTGCTTATTGTCTCAGCACCTAATAATCTCTGGCTAATCTGTTGGATAACTGATGGTGTGATCTAATTACTCGCCAGCATGTACTCATATGACGAGCCTCAACTTTCTTTCGAACTCGTGGTCGTTTTTCAATACCATCATCATCAAAATCAACACAGGACCGGGTATTATTGCGTAATGGTCCAAGTTGCCACACCTCATATCAACATACCAAGTAGCAAGGCAACAAAATGGAAAAGATGAAGAAAGAATGAAAAATCGGCCAAAAGAAGTAGAAAGTGGTGAAAGAGAGGAGGGAGGAGTGAGATGATGAGTTTAAGTATGACGGTTAAGATGAGGGTAATGTGTGCATACATTTACCCCATTGACATCAATCTTCAGCTAACCACTGGTTTCTCTTGTCCCGTGGACTCCAACCAGCTATTCTGCATTGCTGTGTGTGGCATGCATTCCAGAGATAAAGGAATGAGAAAGTAAGTGAGCCTGACTACAGAAAGGTTGACCATATCAGTAATCAACGCACCAACTGTACTAGAACCCTATTATATTAGTTCAAAATGACCCTACTAACTACAAGTTGGTCTTGGTAACGTGGGAGGACACCGTCTGGTTCACTGTAACCAGGGCCACCTAAGACAACAAACGACCTCAGAAATTAGTGACCTGCCCCTGGACAAAATGAAAAAGGTCAGTCAAAGATGAACAAACATTCGTGAGATCACCGAAAACTATGGGGGATGAAAAGGTTATCACAAAAATTGTTACGTAACATTCTAGGGTTAGAACTTTTCTGGAAGAGGCGACCCAAAATGAACCTCATATTTTATTGTGAGTTGATTCATAAGCACTCGCACTCTCATGGTCCATAAATCAAGTTGATTATAACGTCTACGCATAATATGCGTAACTATAAAGTATTGGTTGAAACTGGGTGGTATACGACGAGCCTGTGAGGTAATTTCTTCTTCAGTAAAACCTCCCGCATTTGGAATAGGTCTCCAGAAGAAACTCGTAAGGCGAATTCTTTAACACCTTTCCGCTCCTCACTTAACAGGCTACTAATAAACAATGAGTCTATCACCCATTCAGCGACTATCTTTGCATACTGGGCCGATGAGAACGTACTTGGACCTCTAAACATATGAAACAGAGCTATCATAGATCTCGACTTCTTTTCACACCGATGGGCTAACGACTGCCTGCGGGGGTGAGTATCGATTCCCCTCCTCATTGTAATGCACCTAACATTTACTGATAGTAAAGTCACCCAATTGGGTGAAAGACGTTCTGGAGCGAATATCGAAAGTAAACAGATGATGAATTTTCTGAGCACAGCGACAATCACAAACGACATAAATCGTTTGGAAAACATATATTATTAACGTAGGATTTAAAAATACAGCGTTATGGCTCAATCTGATATATTTCATATCAGGATGTCAAGTTCGAAAGTGACAAGAGGGAAGACAAAGCCCTAAAATTCATCTGATCAGAGGTTACAAGTAGCTGCAAAGTGGAAAGGAGGGGAAGTAAAGCGAGTGACTAAACTTGAATAAACCGTAAGGTATAAGCGTATCTCCATCCCTGCGACCGATTCTCAGTCACATCAAACAGGGTAAACAGCTACGAACTTCGGTCATTTTGTGGACTCCATCCAAATAAGAAGAACGCAATTCCCTACGTCGCTCAGACTGACAGACAAAAACAACCGGGTCCTCAAGGTATCCTCCCATGACAATCTAGAGATCTTTTCTACATCAAACCCATTTCGACTGGCATTGCGCATTGAGTAGAATGACGAAGAATGACTGGTACCTGTGCTACGCATACAAACACGTAGTTCCTATGCATAGCACAGGTACCAGTAAATCCAAACAATGAAGCTTTATCTTCTTCCACGTACGACTTCAGCTCTAGTCAAACTGACAAGAGTTTCTCATCTTCGCGCAAACATTCCTATTATCCTTGGCCGATAGCTGGCCGCTTGATGTATGATTCATGTTGTCGCAACCAAATACTCTGTTTGTAAGCAACCACTCTACCTCTCTTTCATCTTCATTCGAATTACCACTTAATGAATATACATAGTGAGTTGGTTGACATCTTGGTCCTTTGGTGTATGTTCAGTTGAGCTTTAGGGATAGTCACAGTTTGGTCACAGTCGGTTAGCAGTATCAAAGTTGCGGGCGAATCACCAAGTTCAGCACCTATTCTAGTGTTTACTTGACTCAACATCACAAAGTGACCTAACCTTTCTATCGAATAATTCAGGGCTAACCTCTACACGACTCACCTTGTGTTTTCACCGCATATGGGTAAGCTATAATGGTAACAGTGGTCCTATATGCAAAGTCTTCGGAAATTCCCTATCTTTATTGGCCACATTTGACAGTCAAGTGGTAGGAAGAGGTGGACTAACGCGCATTGCATTCGGTCTGTCATATGCATCCCAATATCTCACTGTCAGTAAAATCCGCGCAAAATGGTGACAGTCTGACGAAATTTTCCTGTCTAAGTTGAGAATTTCTCGACCCAGAAAACACCAGAATTGAAGTAAATGTCCTGTAGATGAAGCGGTCGTTGCGCCCAGCCAACTTGCTACCTATCGTCAAATAGGACATCGATACACACCAGTTCCGAAGCATCTCGAATCGTCACAAGAGGTGTTTAAAAGACTTCGTACCCTATCAGTGCTTTCACCTGACAGTGCCGTTTAGCCTGCGTACTCTAAGTTTTAAGTAGAGTCTTCCACCAGACCACTTCCTGAATGAAATATCACATCATCTTTCTATGCAGTCTCTGGGTTAAGGCTTGGAAACATTCACAGTTTAAAATTATTTGCAGATAATATCTCCCCTTTGGAAAGAATATAGTACCAATTCAATAAGTCTCTACGAAAGGGGAGAGTGAAACGGTCTGGATATTTAAATATTCTTGAAATTAAGAAGGTACGGCGCACAAGTAGCTACTATTTGTCTTGAGAGTGAGTGTGTATCGTTGAATAATTCATTGCGCACATGGCTTAGCACTTCGGGAATAACGAGATATCAGTGAATATCATCGAAACAACAAATGGTAGGAATTTGCGGGCTCACGAAAATATCCTATTTGGAGGATGTCATCATGATACAATTAGAAGTCAGACAGTTCTTTGAATACAATGGCTACATGAATTAGTACATAGAGAACCAAGAACCCTAGACTAGTTCTGGAGGGATTAGATTTGGCGAGTCGCTAGTTCATGGACTGAATTGATTCCACCTATTACCAACACACAACAAAGTAACATGCTCATCTGATCATCAAACAGGAACAGTATCATCTCGGTACTTCATCATACAGCACATCGAAAGTATACGAACAATGGTGTTGACAGCTACAAAACATATAGTCAGAAAACGTCTCACTTACCTATAGGATAACAAATATCAGCCTCATGTAATTCGGCAGGGTCATTTCGCGACAAGAGACAGAAGTTGGGTACGAGTACTCGGTTTCCTGCAGTGTCAATTAATTCAATTTGAGAAGAATGATACATTATAAACCCAACGTTTTTCCAAATATAGTTTTATGAATAACTGAAGAGATAAAAGCTAATTGGTGCTAAACATCGACAGGAAAAATATGAGCTAGGCTAACCTGAATATACATTTGCAATAATAACTTACTGAAGTAACTTGCTGCAACCTGAGGATGGTGAAAAAGCTGGTTCGAAAAATACGAATCTGAGGTTAAGACGATAGATCTACTTGAACAACAAACCCGTACGTAGAAGATTGGAAATAACTGTCACATTGAGTAGTATGCAACAAGAAATACGGATCATCTGGCCCGTTGTAACTTTGGCTAGCAACATAGAAATAGAATAGTAACAAATTGGACAAAGTGCTGAAAGATTTTGTCCGATATGCGACAAACGAATGCAGAACATGCTGGGTATTTGAACCAGGTGAACGGAGGATACAACTGTATCTCTACTTTCAATCTTCGTTGATTCATTCAACCTATCCAACTCCGTCTCAGATGTATAGCAAGACCGATCCGAGGCTTTTACAGTTTTCTACTTTATTAATATCGACAGTCAGTGACATCGCTGGAGGCTATCTGATCCATATCTCTGTCGTCTATGGTGTGCTAGTGATTTTTACGCTACATAAGGTTGGATGAGCATCAGGCAGCTGGGGATAAGATCTATGTACACGGCTTTGGTTCAGACTCAGCATCTTGATGGGATCCTACTTTGTCAAATTTGGAACGGACGGTCCTATATTTACGTCACAAACTCTGTGCATAACACAAAAGGTTTCATGCATTTGCGTCATATGTTCCTAAATAAAATGACTCATCGAGTCTGAGAGCGTTGATATAGCACTCAAAGTCGTGGAAGTACAATATTCAAGTTTAATACCAGCGGAGTTGTGACCAGTTTCCTTAGGCACTTCAATTCTAACTAGCGACCCACAAGTTCGAGCCCAACTGCACCTAGGGAGGTGCGCACGGATAGGTAGCGTCAGCACATCTGTTACAACAGATAGCGCCCATTGACCAGTACACAAACGAATACATTGTTCCTGAGTCGTACTATTATATTCTTGGTGCTACATCAGCTGATCAACACGTTTCATTGTGACAAATAGAAGACGAATTGACAGAGAACCTTGTCGCCAATTGCGACGGCCTAAGTTATCACAAGCCACGGTGGTAGGTAAAAAGGAGATGAATGGATAAAGATATGCAAGTAGAAAAAAGTTTGTGAGAGCAGAAGATTAATAAACGAACGTTAATCAACAGTTTTTGCACTCGGGTTATCTGGCCAATTCTGGTCCATACACACGAAAGCCTTGAGCCGTGGATTTACACAGTTTAAATAACCCTAGTCGAACAACCTACATACTTCAAACTAATAGTCAGAGTTCAGGTTGATTTCATACCCTGCCCTTGATTAAAAGCACTTTCGTCCTATGCCCATCCTGCACCAAAATCCTGACTGTAATGGTTCTGAAAATAATCGATGGTAGATACAGCGCTTAATGCATTCTTATGTGCACTGCAAGATAAATCTAATATCGGGATGTTTACTTAGAGAGTTGTAGAACATGAAGAGATCCCATCAATGATACCCGTTACTTACTTATTTCTGACTTTTCCAGAAGACTTCGTAGTATACAGAACTGATCGAATCTCGTTAATATGCGCCTTATTGAACGTGGTGGGTCTATACAGATAACGTGGGGGTTGGTTTCTATGTAGTTCTGAACAAAATCAAAAACAGTAAATTTACAATAAAATTCTTTATCTTCTGTTGACCTGACATGCTGATATCGCACCGCAAGAATTCAGGTATTTTGTGAAGAATCGCATCAAACTGTCCCTGTTCTGAGATATTTGTGTGCGGGTCAATCTATATGCACATACGTCTTCAAAGAAAAACGAAAAAAACCTTTTGGAATCGGAGATCATTCCTAAAGGAAGTTAGGTATGGAGATAAATAGCTACCTTTTAGCATTCAGAAGGGAACTGAGTCCAATGCTATGGATCTTAGCGTCACTCATGAAGACCCCAACGACCTTCATTTCGAAATACCTCATAAACTATAGCCAATTGTGATCGACCCAGGAATATTATAACGCAGGTATCAAGGTGAAACAAACTCATACCTCAAACTTCGTGTTTTAGAAATCACAAATGATGGTTGCTTGGACACTGCGTCCGCCTGGACGGAGTGATTCATCTCTTTACAGTGGTCATACCATTTTCCTGGTGCTGGAAAAACCTTAAAGGACGTATATTACTAATTAGCGGTTATTTATAGAACCATAGAACGACAGGCAGCTCCTTTCTTACAACTCAGCTTTATCACCGGACTCTACGTGTGTATCTAATTTCCTTTCGAAACCTCAGGAAGAAGGGCCTGCGACAAAATCAGGAATGATGTCACGCAAATCACGTACCCTTACTCCAAGATCACCGAGCCCTTTGCAATTCCTACCTTTACGGGTACCTATAGGTAGGTACACAGCGTCATTCTAAGGTGGTTTAAGAGATAGTGTGAGTCTGGAAAATGAGAGGTGAGAAGTACTAATAGAGAACAAGTGTTACTTGCAACCATTTAGAAGCAGTATGTTCCTCACTGAGAAACTAGGGTTGAGCATCAGGGAGATGGACAAGCATGCGTTTAAACGCTTTTTGTTTATGCTAGTGGTAAGCCGTACTTGCTCATGTAGTTATCTAGCATTCGGTCGAAATAATTAACTGAGGTGGTTGTGGCTACTTCTTTCGGTAGACAGTCCTATCGCACACACACTATGAGGGAATAAGTAGGTTCCAACTCTTGTTTGAACCCCGTGGTGGTGTAGGAGTGGGGCTCCAGCATGACTAGGTCTCTGACCGACAATGTCGCCCTCTTAGGGTGATTCGCTGGATGTATAATCTTGTGGGCTGTTGTTGGGTCACATGTTTTCCATCGATAGCTTGAGGTGAACACGATAAGTTTTGTGGGGATTGTGTGTTTTTTATCTACCAGGCCGACGACCGACTTTGTTGCCATTTTCCATGCCCCCTCGGGCAGGCCGCTGTCTCCACTTAGTGTGGGGAAGACTGTCGTGTTGAGCACCTCTAAGTACGGTCCAACTTAACTCTTGAAAACCGTAGGCAGTAACTCATTGGTAAGCGCCCCGAGTTGTCTTCTTAGGAAATGTATGGGGGCGTTCGCCTCCCCCGCCCTTCTACAGTAGTTGGTGCTGTTATCTCTAATATCGGATAGGTCCTGTCAGCTCCCTCCTCTGTCGGTACCCGGGTGATTGTACAGTGGTTGAGAATAAAGCCAGGTTTCCAAGACTCTGTCTGCAATACGTCAACGTGGAGTATCATAAGGTCCTTTGTTCCGGATCAGGTAGTTTAGGCGTCACTTTCACTTTGAGCAAAACTCGCCCGGTAAGAAACGTATCCAATATAATGCACTGTGAGGAAGTATACATGAATAAAATTCACAACATGACGTCCGGAGTGTCCCAAGGAGCAATCCTAGGACCACTTCCGTTCCTCCTGTTTGTGAATGATCTACCGCATAAAATATCCCCATCCATCCTCCTGTTCGCTGACGGCATTAAACGAAGAAGCCGACTGTACAGCACTACAAAAAGACTTGCAGCAACTCGAATTCTGGTCGCCGGGAAATGGCTTGAGCTGCAACCTGGAAAAGTACGAAGTAATGCACATCAATAAATATACAGCAAGTACGACCGACCTCCAGTACATGTTGAGCGACCGTGCTATCACAAGAGTGTCCAGGGAGAAAGATTTATGGCTCGATTTCGACAAAGGTATGACAACCATAGCGAACTCTATCCTGCACTTTTTGCGTAGACAGCTCGGAGCTCTCACACTCTGACTCTTTCTCACCGTTTTCAAATCCTACGTGCGGCCATATCTAGATGTCTACCACGCGGTTGCCCCCACTCCCAATACTGAGGAGAGACTCTAATCTCGTTGAGAAAATACAAAGAACCGCAGCGAAATCAGTTGTAGGGCTGAAGGAAAACACATATCCTGAAAGACTCAAACACATAGACCTATTTACCTCGGGTTATCTCAGGAAGGGGGTGACTTTATAATGACTTACAAGATAGCTCATCAAGCAAACCACGTAAACAAATCAATGTTGCTTGAAATACAGCGGTCTTCACGAAAAAAACAAATTAAGATACATCAGAGAGCCAAAGCAATACTTGGGTCCAATATTTACTCCCTGAGAGAATGTGCTTTACGGAATGCCCTATCGCGAAACATCGCCATAGCCCCCCTAAGTTGGCTCATCAAGAGACGGTTAGATATTTATTTCACTTCGTGTGCTCTACCACGGACGTACTCATGGAGTCACTAACCTCACTTACCCCCACCCGCCTTATACCTACCACTCACTACCTCTCTACTTAAAACACCCACATTACCTACTGATTCTTCTCCAGAAAATGCAACTACGCTAACTACTTTTACCTTTCGGGCAACTCCCATACACTTTATTCAGATCTTTTTTCCTTTCATTTTCTCTCATTCTTTCCTTTCTCTACCTTACTACTCCCATTTATGTACCTACACAGACAGGAGTGACGACAGTCCCCTAACCATCCCAGCAACCCATAGCCACCCAATCGCTCTAAAAATTCTAACCTACTAAACCACAAAACATCCACCTACCCGAAGATAAATTCAAGAAAGCATAGGGCATTTCCTTGTCCGCTGCGGGAGTGAGCCGAGCAACCCAAACGAAGCCGGAAGCAGTAGATAAGAGAGAACAAAACGATAGGTTTTTCACTCGCACTATCAATATTGGAATATTGGATATTGGCACAGAGAAGAAACTGTGACTATTCTAAACAAAAAAATTATTCCATCAAGGCGGACGCAGTGTCCAAGCAACCATCATTTGTGATTTCTAAAACACGAAGTTTGAGGTATGAGTTTGTTTCACCTTGATACCTGCGTTATAATATTCCTGGGTCGATCACAATTGGCTATAGTTTATGAGGTATTTCGAAATGAAGGTCGTTGGGGTCTTCATGAGTGACGCTAAGATCCATAGCATTGGACTCAGTTCCCTTCTGAATGCTAAAAGGTAGCTATTTATCTCCATACCTAACTTCCTTTAGGAATGATCTCCGATTCCAAAAGGTTTTTTTCGTTTTTCTTTGAAGACGTATGTGCATATAGATTGACCCGCACACAAATATCTCAGAACAGGGACAGTTTGATGCGATTCTTCACAAAATACCTGAATTCTTGCGGTGCGATATCAGCATGTCAGGTCAACAGAAGATAAAGAATTTTATTGTAAATTTACTGTTTTTGATTTTGTTCAGAACTACATAGAAACCAACCCCCACGTTATCTGTATAGACCCACCACGTTCAATAAGGCGCATATTAACGAGATTCGATCAGTTCTGTATACTACGAAGTCTTCTGGAAAAGTCAGAAATAAGTAAGTAACGGGTATCATTGATGGGATCTCTTCATGTTCTACAACTCTCTAAGTAAACATCCCGATATTAGATTTATCTTGCAGTGCACATAAGAATGCATTAAGCGCTGTATCTACCATCGATTATTTTCAGAACCATTACAGTCAGGATTTTGGTGCAGGATGGGCATAGGACGAAAGTGCTTTTAATCAAGGGCAGGGTATGAAATCAACCTGAACTCTGACTATTAGTTTGAAGTATGTAGGTTGTTCGACTAGGGTTATTTAAACTGTGTAAATCCACGGCTCAAGGCTTTCGTGTGTATGGACCAGAATTGGCCAGATAACCCGAGTGCAAAAACTGTTGATTAACGTTCGTTTATTAATCTTCTGCTCTCACAAACTTTTTTCTACTTGCATATCTTTATCCATTCATCTCCTTTTTACCTACCACCGTGGCTTGTGATAACTTAGGCCGTCGCAATTGGCGACAAGGTTCTCTGTCAATTCGTCTTCTATTTGTCACAATGAAACGTGTTGATCAGCTGATGTAGCACCAAGAATATAATAGTACGACTCAGGAACAATGTATTCGTTTGTGTACTGGTCAATGGGCGCTATCTGTTGTAACAGATGTGCTGACGCTACCTATCCGTGCGCACCTCCCTAGGTGCAGTTGGGCTCGAACTTGTGGGTCGCTAGTTAGAATTGAAGTGCCTAAGGAAACTGGTCACAACTCCGCTGGTATTAAACTTGAATATTGTACTTCCACGACTTTGAGTGCTATATCAACGCTCTCAGACTCGATGAGTCATTTTATTTAGGAACATATGACGCAAATGCATGAAACCTTTTGTGTTATGCACAGAGTTTGTGACGTAAATATAGGACCGTCCGTTCCAAATTTGACAAAGTAGGATCCCATCAAGATGCTGAGTCTGAACCAAAGCCGTGTACATAGATCTTATCCCCAGCTGCCTGATGCTCATCCAACCTTATGTAGCGTAAAAATCACTAGCACACCATAGACGACAGAGATATGGATCAGATAGCCTCCAGCGATGTCACTGACTGTCGATATTAATAAAGTAGAAAACTGTAAAAGCCTCGGATCGGTCTTGCTATACATCTGAGACGGAGTTGGATAGGTTGAATGAATCAACGAAGATTGAAAGTAGAGATACAGTTGTATCCTCCGTTCACCTGGTTCAAATACCCAGCATGTTCTGCATTCGTTTGTCGCATATCGGACAAAATCTTTCAGCACTTTGTCCAATTTGTTACTATTCTATTTCTATGTTGCTAGCCAAAGTTACAACGGGCCAGATGATCCGTATTTCTTGTTGCATACTACTCAATGTGACAGTTATTTCCAATCTTCTACGTACGGGTTTGTTGTTCAAGTAGATCTATCGTCTTAACCTCAGATTCGTATTTTTCGAACCAGCTTTTTCACCATCCTCAGGTTGCAGCAAGTTACTTCAGTAAGTTATTATTGCAAATGTATATTCAGGTTAGCCTAGCTCATATTTTTCCTGTCGATGTTTAGCACCAATTTAGCTTTTATCTCTTCAGTTATTCATAAAACTATATTTGGAAAAACGTTGGGTTTATAATGTATCATTCTTCTCAAATTGAATTAATTGACACTGCAGGAAACCGAGTACTCGTACCCAACTTCTGTCTCTTGTCGCGAAATGACCCTGCCGAATTACATGAGGCTGATATTTGTTATCCTATAGGTAAGTGAGACGTTTTCTGACTATATGTTTTGTAGCTGTCAACACCATTGTTCGTATACTTTCGATGTGCTGTATGATGAAGTACCGAGATGATACTGTTCCTGTTTGATGATCAGATGAGCATGTTACTTTGTTGTGTGTTGGTAATAGGTGGAATCAATTCAGTCCATGAACTAGCGACTCGCCAAATCTAATCCCTCCAGAACTAGTCTAGGGTTCTTGGTTCTCTATGTACTAATTCATGTAGCCATTGTATTCAAAGAACTGTCTGACTTCTAATTGTATCATGATGACATCCTCCAAATAGGATATTTTCGTGAGCCCGCAAATTCCTACCATTTGTTGTTTCGATGATATTCACTGATATCTCGTTATTCCCGAAGTGCTAAGCCATGTGCGCAATGAATTATTCAACGATACACACTCACTCTCAAGACAAATAGTAGCTACTTGTGCGCCGTACCTTCTTAATTTCAAGAATATTTAAATATCCAGACCGTTTCACTCTCCCCTTTCGTAGAGACTTATTGAATTGGTACTATATTCTTTCCAAAGGGGAGATATTATCTGCAAATAATTTTAAACTGTGAATGTTTCCAAGCCTTAACCCAGAGACTGCATAGAAAGATGATGTGATATTTCATTCAGGAAGTGGTCTGGTGGAAGACTCTACTTAAAACTTAGAGTACGCAGGCTAAACGGCACTGTCAGGTGAAAGCACTGATAGGGTACGAAGTCTTTTAAACACCTCTTGTGACGATTCGAGATGCTTCGGAACTGGTGTGTATCGATGTCCTATTTGACGATAGGTAGCAAGTTGGCTGGGCGCAACGACCGCTTCATCTACAGGACATTTACTTCAATTCTGGTGTTTTCTGGGTCGAGAAATTCTCAACTTAGACAGGAAAATTTCGTCAGACTGTCACCATTTTGCGCGGATTTTACTGACAGTGAGATATTGGGATGCATATGACAGACCGAATGCAATGCGCGTTAGTCCACCTCTTCCTACCACTTGACTGTCAAATGTGGCCAATAAAGATAGGGAATTTCCGAAGACTTTGCATATAGGACCACTGTTACCATTATAGCTTACCCATATGCGGTGAAAACACAAGGTGAGTCGTGTAGAGGTTAGCCCTGAATTATTCGATAGAAAGGTTAGGTCACTTTGTGATGTTGAGTCAAGTAAACACTAGAATAGGTGCTGAACTTGGTGATTCGCCCGCAACTTTGATACTGCTAACCGACTGTGACCAAACTGTGACTATCCCTAAAGCTCAACTGAACATACACCAAAGGACCAAGATGTCAACCAACTCACTATGTATATTCATTAAGTGGTAATTCGAATGAAGATGAAAGAGAGGTAGAGTGGTTGCTTACAAACAGAGTATTTGGTTGCGACAACATGAATCATACATCAAGCGGCCAGCTATCGACCAAGGATACTATAAATGTTTGTGACATGACATTTAACAAAGTTTTACACATGTCCGCAGATCGACAACTTTATACGTTAAACGACTGCGCACAATGCAGTTGTATACGAGGCCGTATCCATCATATGTTCACCTTTCATGATCTTCTCAACACAGACACGCCGGTGACTGACATTTTTCTTACCTGATAGTTGCATTCAACTCTACAATCTAAGAAGAGTTATAGAAGTCTCTGGCTGTGAAAGTAATATCGAGTGAATAAATTGTGCCGATAGTCTATCCGACTTCATGCCGACAAGTGAAGGGCTGTATACCATTGTCCCCTGAAGTAACAACAGCCAATGATCCCCACCAAGGATGTCCACTACCGCCACTCCTACTTAACTTTGTAGTAAATGTGCTGATGCATACAATATTTGTTTAGCTAAAGTGACAACGTCGACTTAAACACCAGCATAGGAGCCTTCGGTTCACAATCTTCAATCAAATCTGTAGACTGAACGAGAGATTAGCATCGTATGGCCTTAAACATAGAGTCAGGGGAGTTCCATGACACACCTAAACGCGACTTTCCAGACAACACCTATTTTGTTGGCTAGCAGCACGCCTGCTAGGCGTTGAGATCGGCGATTTCGTGGTTGATTTTAGAAAACATATTTACCTCTCAAGCAACTGATTATTGTGTGCAGAAAATACTTCTTATTTTGTACCTTGAGGTAAACACGATGCTCAATTACTGATGAAATGATGTTACATTCGCTCAAGACAGTTTACTTGAAGTACAAGGATGGTAGCTGGGAAAGATAACGCTATTGATGCCGAAGAAATTTAGATCGATTAGCATTCCCCTGTTAAACAATGGTGTGAAGCTTGGAATTAAGTTTGGGGACTAAATAATCAATAAGTCAGCAACCCACTGACAAGACAGACGTTTTGGAACGACAAGGTGGAACACAACGCAAACAATAAAATTTGTCTATAATTATGATTTGATTGCCGCTATCTATTCGCAGTCAGAGTGCAACGATTCCCAGAGCCCCGACTGGGTTATTAGTTACGGTATCCGAATCATGTGACACGCCCATAATCTATCTTGCACATTGACTGCTCCATCCCACAAGAAAAAACACCGTCGTGTGATAACGGAAGAGAAATCAGCTCGATCAATAACAACTTCCAAGATACTAGGTTCGGCAACCACCTGACTACAGAATGGAGCCTTTCAATGTCAAACCGAAGGAAACTAACTAGGTATAAGATCCGGTTGTTAATTCGCTTACCAAATAAGTCTTTAGCTCATAACAAACCTTGAAACACCAGCATAGCAGGGATCGATACCCTTAAAGAATTCTCAAGGTACGCAGGTATCATAATCCAGTCGGGTAAAGATACTGGTAGGATTCAAAATATATTGAACACGTTGGGCGACAGGCTGAGAATATCTGAGGCATGCTACTCATCTAAACGCAAAACGGTGCTTAAGGACCGGTCTATATTGACATCTCTCCCGACAATCGAGTGGTCGACCACTTCACCCAATTGGAAATTCGGACCCGTCTTGGTGAAACGGTGCTCAAGATGTTAGTACGAATACTAAAGGCTCGATTGCTTCTAATCAATTCACGTAACCGATAGTTCCGGCGAGATATCCGAATGCCCATCAAATGTTGAGAGCCTTACACAGGCATTCCCTCAGTTCCAAACTGACTTTCATTTTGTCGTGTTCAACCAGTCTAGCAACCCTAATGGTTACACAGCGATACCAGGTCACTGTCGACAATGATGCGTAACCAGATAAATTACCTCATGATGTTTGCGCAGAAGCGGCTAGTCTGACTTTGGTTGGACTGTACTAATCTGTCTATTTCGTCTCGCCGGAACTATTCATTTACGAAGACATTAACTTCCGGTAAACATGTCGCCGCGTCTCTTACCTGAATTTCATATTGAGGAACACACCGAACCTGTTATGTAAACAAGCGTGTAGCACAAATCCACTGACTCCCGAAAGTATGACAAGATAATCCCGACCATATCTTGTTTCAGATCAACGGATGTCATAATCCAAGCTTAACATGCCAGTACGATCAGTATTTAAAGCACGAATTTCCTACAAGTTATGCATGTGTGAAGAATAAATGATTTCCCGAGCACCTCTACTTAACTGTTTTAAGATTTTCAAGTGGAACATACAAGTCAATCGGGCAGTTATCGTGTTATTGTAATGGTTTACAACCCAACCGATGTAAACAGCTGTAGTGTTGAGACCCAACGATTTTTCCCATATACATCGATTATATACATTCATTACGCAGTGCCTCTGGAGTTATTGCCAAGCTATAGGCAATCCACGCTATTAAATGTCTCTTTAAAAAACCAGTGAAACCAACTTTTCTACGAGTTACTTTTGACAAAGTATTGGTTCATTATGGAGTTGGACTGTCTGAGGTCTTATTAAAAGGTAGTACTTTAGACTCAATTGTAGTTGGCGTAATTCAGAACTCTATAGCACTAAGGTAAGCTTACAGACAAACGCACATACACTACAAACCTTCAGATTTGGTTGTTCAGTGGAACTGAGTCACATACATTTGTCTGTACAAAAAGCATCAATAATGCAATTTTAAAGACACTTCAGACGAAATATACCCACTGATATTAGAACAGTCGGTAACGTGTTTCAAAAGCTTTTTCTAATGTGCAAACAATATCGGAAATGATAAACCCTACTGTTCTCTGGGCTTAAATTTCAAAAGACAATTCGTGAAACGGCCACAGGATACAAGATATCGGGAACCATTGGTTCGATTAATGCTTATTTGATCCGATAGTAGAATGTTTCACTCTTGAATGCAAAGGCTGATGAAAAGCATGTTTGAAAAACGTCAACTAAATGCAGCTCGAAGCCTACCCCTCATCAAAAACCAACTAAGGCCATGTGACTGATCAATTCCTGACTCAATGACAGCAATAGCAACCGTATTCATATTTACCAAGTTGTAATTAGTCCATTGCTTTGGTTGACTGAACTGCTAGTTAATAACATCTCAGTAACTAGCCAAGGAAGTGTCACTTCTTGCTTCTGGTATTTCCAATGTCCTTCGCTACACAGATATTAATTAGTAGTCATTATCACCACCCTTTTCTTTCGGACAACGTAGATCACTCACAACTGTGAAAAATTTTATTCTTAGTCGGTCAGGTAATACCACTTAGATTTGTCACCTGCTTGTTTCCCATACGTAGAGTGATGTGTACCTTAAGGTTTGATACCCAGAGACAACGTCCTTGATGTGTTAGAAAATTATCACTTGCCATGTTTTCTTATCAATGTATCGGGAATCTTTCAGCCTATGTCCGCACATTCCTCAATATCGATCTCACAATAGGTAGTGATCTGCTGAGATAATCTTTTCCATCAATATAAGCAGAAAACAGTGAGGAAATAACACCACTTCCTGTCAGATTAGTCAGCCGAAAAAGGGTAGCTTGAAACACCTAGCGGGAAAGAGATCTCTTACCAAAGAAAAGACCAACTAGTCAGTTGTGTTGATGCCTCAGTCCCACTTGATGCACAAGAGATATGAAACAAATGTTTGCCAACTTGCGAACTTAAATAAGGTCAACTCCAATAAATCCTTAACAAGAATCTCCTACCACTAGATACTTAGGCGGTTAGCCGTCCAGATGGCAGTAGCTATACGCAGACTTCGAGTATCTTTTGTATTAGCTTAAGCAGCACCGTCCGAGACGTGCGTCTGATGCGTAGTAACTTTCTTTTGAAAAGATCACTTGATACAGAGTACTAGAAAACTTATATCTTTGAGGTGCTGTAGGTAAACGCGTTCCCGGCCACTAGGTAAATTGGTCTCCTATCTAACCATTTGTTCAGAGTAACTCTGCTACTTTAACCTATGGGAAAGTTTAGACGATTTGTCGCTTGGAGAATCATGACCAGTATTTGGGTTAATCGGGATGGTGTTCCAGAAACCACGAAACATTGGTAGCAGTCCAGTAGTTATTGGCGTCAAACAGCAGATATTATTTCCACTAAGTATTCATGGTCAGATAAAAATCCGGCATCAAATGTCGTCACGGAGCTGCTGCTTCGAACCAGAAAAGAAAGAGGAAGCGCGAGTGGATTTGGAAGCGGGAATTACTACGCTATCCAGCTTGGAGAAGAGAGAATCCACTTTTCTTTCAAATCTATTCGAACTTTTTGTACGCTTTCGCGTATGTGTGTGGAGTCAAATACGTAGCTTTTCAGGGGTGTATCCTAGTGGCTTTGAGAGGAAAGCAGTATACATCGGGTTCATGGTATGGAGGAGGGGAACCAGCGCTGTCACCCTGGTTTGCAATCTTGAACCCGTCAGTGTTGGACGAACTCGAGAACTTTAATAACTCTGATTCATACATTTGGAGGCCAAAGTACGTTCCCAGTGAGGGCAATAGCTTGACCATGAGTACGTGCCAATAGTCCTATTATACTTCATATTTGTGGATGTAATATGAATGTCAAAAAATTTATGGATATCCGTGAACTGAAGGAATTCGTTGAGTAGACGTTGAAACTGAAATGGGGACACCTAAATGCGAACACAAAGTAGGAGCATATTCCATAACTTGCTGCACTGCATCATAAGAAATCGTGACCCAAGTTGAAGGTAGTGTTCCTCGAGAGGTACAGTACACTCACGATCACGTAGACTGCATGAGGACGTAGGCTAACAAGTAGGAGGGCAGCGATTATGAGTAATACCACGCAAAAGGCGAAAAATGGGTTAGGGTTGAGTTTGCGCTGCCTTAGCAAAGATAAATGAAGTCAGGATGGCAAGTTCTACAGGAACTTGATTTTGGGAACCCATGCTGACTCAATTTAATGATGTTGCCGCTAAGCATGTGCTGAAGAAAGCTTTCCTTGATAACTTTCTCCATGATTCTAGAGACTACAGGAGTAACACTTATTGGTCTGTAGTTACTGGCTAGT